TGAACTAACTGAAGCCGGTAAAGAGAAGAGTGTTGGAGGCCCGAGTAGAGGGAGTTACAGTCGTCCAATCTGGATGTGATAAATGAGTGGATAAGCTTTTCAAGGTCTTTAAAGGAAGGAACGGCTTTGCTTTGGATATCTGACGCAACTGGTAAAAGCTGTTTTTTACCACAGTGGAGACCTGTTTCTCAAGTTTAAAAGAGCCATCCAGGAACACTCCGAGGTTTCTTACAGTGAGCGAGAGATGGCTAGCAGGAGGGCCAAGGGCAGAGTGTGACTATCAAAAACTACGATTTCGGTCTTATTCTCGTTCAGTGTAAGAAAATTTTGTGATAACCAAATTTTAACTTCATGCAAACAGTTGAACAGAGGTTGCAAAGAAGCAGACACATCAGATTTCAAAGGTGAATAAATCTGGATATCATCGGCATAACAGTGAAAGGAGATGTTATATTTTTAAGAAATTAATCCCAACAGCAACATGTACAAAGAGAAGAGAGCAGGACCGAGCACGGACCCTTGAGGCACACCACAATAAAGAGGGGCAGAAGCCGAGGAGTGTTGCCATAGCAACAGAGAACGACCTCTCTGAGAGGTAGGATTTAAACCAAGGTAAAGCCGTACCTTTGAGACCAACAACATGTTCCAGTCTTGATAGAAGAATGTTGTGGTTAACCGTGTCAAAAGCAGCAGTCAAGTCAAGTAAAACTAAAACCACAGAATAGCCAGAAGATCATTAAAACCTCTAAGTAAGTCTCTGTGCTGTGGCGAGGTTTCAAACCAGACTGAAACTTTTCATTAATACCATTTGCATCTAAAAAGGCCTGAAGTTGTTTAGAACTACCTTTTCCAATATTTTGGAAATAAAAGGGAGTCATAATAGGTTGCACAACAGCATGCTTAAAGACAGACGGTACACAACCTGATGACAATGATGCATTCAGCAGAAGTAAGATACAAGGACCAATAATATGTAACGGTTCCTTAAAGAAATGAGAAGGAAGAATATCGTGCGGGGAACCAGAGATTTTGAGATGATCAATTATGTCTTTTAAAGCAGAATAAGACACTGGCTCAAACTGTTGAAAGACAGTCAAGCATTCAAAGGCTGGAACTGGGTCTAACCTCATAAACTGAAACTCTTCAAATAAGCCATAAAGTTCTGTCTCTCCTTTTTGCACAGTCGAGGAGCGTATCAGGTCACATTTCACTGCGTGTTATATCTGTATAACCATGCACATGACAAATAAAGAATCTTGAATCTTGAATCATTCCTCTGCAGATGATCAGCTGTTTGACATCTACTCTTTCAAGAATTTACGAGATAAAAGGAACGTTGGAGATTGGCCTATAATTAGCTGGGTCAAGGGATGGCACATAGCGATTATTAGAGATAGGTTGGAGGAAGACATTAATGAAATTAACTCAGAAAGATCAATAGGAGAAAAAGACTAAATGGTACTGAAAGCAGCGGTACATGTTGTTACATCTGTGAGATGATCATGAGTATTTTTTTCTCTAATGGTTAAAATGTTATTTGTGAAGAAGTTCATGAAGTCATTACTAGTTAACGTTAAAGGGATGGTTGGCTCAACAGAGCTATGACTGTTTGTCAGCCTGGCTACAGTGCTGAAGAGAAACCTGGGGTTGTTCTTATTTTCTTCAATCAGTGACGAATAGTAAGATCTTCTAGCTTTACAGAGGGCTTTTTTTATAAAGCAACAAACTATTTCTCAAGGCTAAATGATGATCCTCTAAATTTGGGATTCCATTTCCTCTCCAGCTTAAGAGTAATTTACTTTAGGCTACGTGTTTGAGAATTATACCACGGAGTCAAGTACTTCTGATTTGAGGCTCTCTTTTTCACAGGAGCTACAGTATCCTAGTGAAAAGTTAAAACTATTAACAAGATAATCGACCTCTGTTTGAGTAGCCTTCAGGTACCTGCTCTGCTCTCTTTTGGTACAGGCTATTGAAGATGATAAAAGTGGGTGAACTGTATTCTTAAACCTAATTACAGCACTTTCATAAAGACATCTACTTTGATGAAATCTATTTCCCACTAAACAAGAGAGGCTTTTCAGGAAACACTGTTTCAGTTTCAATTCAATTTTATATATACAGTGCCAAATTACAAGAACAGTCGCCTCAAGGCACTTTATTTTGTAAGGTAGACCTTACAATAATACATACAGAGAAAAGCCCAACAATCACATGACCTGGTATGAGCAAGCACTTTAGTGACAGCGGGAAGGAAAAACTCTGTTTTAACAGAAAGAAACCTCCAGCAGAACAGTTTAATGTCCTCACTGCTGGATCATAAAAAATATTTATAACAAATGTTCTGTAATTATTAAGTTATTTAAACATTAATTAATACTTGAAACACAAAACCTTAAAAACTGCTTATTCCAGTATTGAATCAAGTTGGATGGACACATCTGGAAAACAAGAAACAGCTGAAATAAATAAAATGCACAGATACAAAAGGAGGTAAAGCTAAACAGAAGACATGAGTTAAATGACTTTCAAAATAAAACAGGAAGCAAGGTAGCAGGAAATGACTAAAGAGAAACAAACAAGCAGATATTACAGAGATTAAGATAATCTCTACTATAGTAATTAAAAATGTAAAATTAACAATGAAGAGAAATTAAAAAAACAAAATCTCAAAAACAGGAAAACTCAGAATAAACCAACAAAACCAGAGACCAATTTCTGATAAACACAAAGACTTCTTAATGTAAGATGTCCTTAATACCTTTATAAAGATCAGTACTTTGCCTTCCACCATCACTACCACTAAACCCATAAGGTATGCATTTTAATACCCCACAGCACCACAAGATGGGAGATCATGTCGTACTTCAACATTAGGAAGTAAATTCCAGATTGTCCAGCTATATCGTTTTTGTTCTACCACTGCCCCGTTTCAACTGCTAGTATCACCTCCTTCCTAATTTAGTTTTTTTCCCCTGTTTGTCACACATTTGTTTCAGATCATCAAACAGTTTTCAATATTAGACAACGATAACTCAAGTATATATATAAGATTGACTGGTTGTGCAATTCTTGGCAGCAAGAACTGCAATCAAAAATTTGTCATAACTGCTCATGATTTATTTCGCCTCTGTGGATGAAATGTTTTTTGTTCTGTTTTTTATTCTTGGTATGATGTTCTCTTTGTGAAATGCTTTGTTACACAAACATTCATGTTACACAAACATTCATGTTACACAAACATTCATGTTACACAAACATTTATGTTACACAAACATTTATGTTACACAAACATTCCAAAGACTTTAACTTTTCTCAGATTTTTTGGAGATCATCAAGATGTGGTAAATTTGAGACAAGCCTTTGTATTATTTTTGGTCAGCAGTTATTTTCATCTTAGAACTTTTCCATAGATGCGTTCTACCTGATCTTTCTTATTGGCGAATCATGAACGCACATCTTAACTGAGACAAGTGAGTCCCGCGTTTCTGTAGATCTTGTTCAGTTTTGTTTTTTGTGACCTTCTGGATGAGTGATTGATTGCACTTGGACTAATTCTGGTAGTCCACTCACTCCCAGGAAGGTTCACTATGTTGTTATTATGTTTTTAAACAGGACCAGGTAGGTTTGGATTAAAATTAGTTTGAGCTGAAACCTGCAAATGTGACTTTATGCAAAAACACAGAAGAAATCCAGAAGACTCAAACACTTTCATAGCACTGTGTCTCATTACAATGGTTTAACTGTTTATGCATAATAATTTTGATAATCATCCAGAACCCACAACAGTTTTGCCCTTTGCAGCTACCTTATGAGTAAGTGTTCACAGTAAACCCATGTTGGGCTAGCCCATAGCAGTTTAGCCTTTTTGGGCCCCAAAAAACATGGGCAGCCCATTGTGGGTTTGCCATAGGAAAACCCATACTGGTCCCCTTTTGGGTTAGCCCATTAAGGCGCCACAGTAGTTTGATCCCAAGAGGTCCCCTGATTGTCATGGCTTTCAATGGGAAACCCACAGTGGGATTGCTCACCGTGGGTGTGGTTTGCCCACCATGGGGCCGAAAGAGCAAAACTGCCGTTGGCTCTATGTGGGCACAGTTAACTTGGGACTGGACGGGATGAGCAATAAGGGCAGAGCTGAAACTATTTTGCTGCTGAAAAAGCCCCATTAGTAAAACCCTGTACTAAAGGATGTATAAATTGTCTCTCAGAACACTCACTGTATGATTGTTTGTCTTCCTGTCCATTAGACAGTGGTGTGTTTGGCGTTCCTCTGAACACGCTGTTGGAGAAAGACAGGAAGAAGTTTCCTGGGGTCAAAGTTCCTGTCGTGTTCCAGAAGGTGAAGAACGTGTCCTTCTCTATGTCTAATGAAGTTTCAGACAGGGGATAGATCGCTGGCTTCATTACTCTAAAACTTATGATACTATAGTTTAATCTTATGTGCCTTTGAGCAGTTCAGGAGCAAAAGTGGGTTACTGTTTGGTCAGTAGTTCGATTCTTCAAGTGTCCTTGAGCAAAATATTGAACCCCAAGCTGAAGCAGCTATTTACGTGCATGATGTAAAATGTTTAATGCTTATAGTAAACAGTGCTCAGAGTAGATAAGTGCTGTATAAGTATGAGTCCATTAGCATATGATGTTGGTGACCTAAAGTAGTTGTTTAGCTAACAGCTAGCAAAGTTAGTTTACCTTTGTTTACATCTTGTTTAGAAATTTTGTGAAAATAAACAAACAACAGTAACCAGTCACACCCTCCTTTATGTGTGTGTATGCATGCAGCTGTTGTGTATCTTAGAGCAAACAGGCCTGTTGACTGAGGGGATTCTCAGAGTACCAGCATCAGCTGCTAGAGTCAAGGTAACACACACACAAGCATACACTGCTGTTTGTTTCCATACAGAATAGCTGTTGCCACTCAGACAATAGCGCTGCATCAGCAGTGGAGGAGGAGGAGAAGTGGAAATCAGAAGTACTGTACTATTATATTATAAAAACTGTGGTAAAAGCTGGCAAGCCAGCTGTGATGCAGCGACACAACACACCATGTAGCAAAAATGGGGAGGTGCGTGACCTGCAGACACGTTCAACTTTGGCACACTATACCATTCATGAGGCACGTCATGCACTGAAAGTCTACCTGCAAAAAAAGTCTGTTGTTGGTTGAAGGGAGTGTCAAAAACGTGGTGCAACCAGTCTGTGGGCTACTATCCATTATCCATTTGAAGAGAAAAGTTATAACACACAACAAGCTGAAGTGAAACTGAGTGTGAAAGATTACCACTGCAGCCAGTCTGTAATTTCCACATCTCTTTCATTCTCCGTGAACTGCCTGTCACTCCCTTCCCTGTTCCGTCACATTTGTCAACCAATCAACATTTGAACAATGCATAGTTAGGATGTTGGATGACTGGAGGTGCATCATCATGGGCAAAGCAAGATCAACATTCCCAGATCCTCAAACACGAACCTTAACCTAGCTCTAACCTATAACCCGAAAGCTGTTCTGAACCCAACACTAGTCCTAGTTTTTAGGTAACAAACGAATGGTTATCAAATTGTTTTTCTCTTTAGATGATGCTTTAACATAGCATAGTAGTAAGGTCAAGACAGCAGCTAAGTGGTGTTTGTTTCTAGATTTTGAGATGGTCTAAACTCAACATTGGTCCTCACAAAAGATGGACACACACTCTGACACACTTTAAAATGACTTTTTACATTCTGGAAAACTGAGTATGTCTGCCTGTGTGTATCTATGTCTGTGTGTGTGTAATACCTACCTGTTTTTGTCTGATTCTCTGTCTTTCTCCCTGCTGTCTCTCTGTCCACCTCTCCGTTTGCTTGCAGTGCCTTCGTAGAGAATTAGACAGGTGCTATGAGGGATTTGACTGGTCTGCACTGAGACAGGTGGACGCTTCCAGTCTGTTGAAGCTTTTCATCAGAGAGCTGCCAACCCCTCTGCTGACACACACACACCTGTCCACCTACCGCTCTGTACTGAGTATGTGTGCACACACACAAACACACATTTTCATCATTTAAATGTGTTTGCAGTACATGAAGTGTTTCTGTGTGTCCCTGCAGGTATCCCCTCTGAGCTCCATCAGGTTCAGGCCCTGCAGCTGCTGACGTTGCTTCTTCCAGAAGCCAACAGAGAAATTCTGAGAGTAAAGCTTCACCCAGACATTGTCTACACACACAAATGAGACACACACAGAGTTCCACACAAACACAAGTGAGAGAGAATTGGGCAAACAGTGAGAAGCAGAACGAGGGCAGTATACACACAGTATACATATGTCACAGCCTAAGAGAGCATGGGACAGCACGTTATAGGGAATCTTTTAGTTTTACAGACAATTTAATATCATTAAAATATATTTATACCCTTGTAAACTCATTTAAGTCTTCACTTAACCTTCATTTGACAGACAGACAGACAGACAGACAGACAGATAGACAGATAAATAGATAGATAGATGATCAGCTAGGTGAGTGACTCCAGCAGATCCCAGGAACAACATTGGGGATCTCTGTCCAGAAGAGTGCAGTCCTACGAACAGCTAAGAAAATGCGCAGGGCCCTCAAGCTCCCAGGCCTCATGTAGAAGACCTGAGCTTGACGGATAGACCGCCCGCAGATGCAAGAGGGAAATCGTCTTTGGAGCTTCAGGTCACGGGGGTTCTGCTCTCCAAATCAAGGTCCCCCACACTATCCAAACCTACACACACAAACACAGACACACACTATATTGCCAAAGGTATTCACTCACTCATCAAATCGTTGAGTTCAGGTGTTCCAATCACCTCCTTGGTCATAGGTGAATAAAGTCAAGCACCTGTGCATGCAGACTGCTTCTACAAACACTTGTTGAAGAGAAGGGCTCTCAAGAGGTCAGTGAATTCTAGCATGGTACCATGATCAGATGCCAACTGCTAAAGTGTTAATTTGACAGCAGATTTAGATTAGGTATATCCCTAGTCTTTTCACTAAAATATAATTTAGTTTTAGTCCAGATTTAGCCACCTAATTTTTGTTTTTGTCTTGTTTTAGGTGAGTATATATTTTTAGATTATAGTAGACTAAATCTTTAGGTCACCAAATCTTAAGGTGTCATATGTATGTCCACAATACTCTTCCTCCAAAACATTGACATTTTGTCACATTTTCATGAGGAACAGGGTGATTAGGTGTTAGCTGAACCCCTGTCTCTATCCCTGTTTGTCAGCAGCAGATCAAATGTCTAACCTTACTGCACAAGATTATCACTTCTGGCTCACTTCCTGCCTTGTCTCAGAAGAAACATTTTCATCTCGTTTTTATTCGTGGACGAACGTTTCGATGCCTTTCATTCATTTTTATTCAGTTATTGTCTTGTTTTTGTTAGAAAAAAAGTTTGTTGATGAAAAATATAATAAAAATTAGTCAACAAAATTAATACTGCTACTAAATATTCAATAGTCAAATGTGCAGGGTCAATGGATGCTGAGGGACGTTGCCAATTTTCTAGTGAATCACTGCAGAGCTACAGTGATTGTTATGGTTTTCTATTATGAATACATTATGGATTTATGAGATTTGTAAATCATTGCATTCTGGACCAAAGTGCAGTACTCACAGACGGAAAGTTAACTTAAAGCTTATTCGCCGGGAAAAACAACTCATCAAAGTAGAGAACTTCACAAAACAAAACAAAACAAAACCCCTAACATAAACCTAAACTAAACTGACACTGAAAACTAGGAAACACGGCTCGAAACATGACGGGAGAAAACACAGTACAAAGAGAGAGTAGGCTAGGTTAACCATCCAACAACAAGCAAGGGTAGGCTGAGGACTAAAAGACACAGGTAGGATCACGAGAGGATTAGGAAACAGGAAGAAACACAGCTGGGACAAATCAGACATGATGCGACGAAGGAAGGCAAAACTAGATACACCGGGGTAGGAGACAGACTATCAAAATAAAACAGGAAATACGCCACGCACACACAGACACGGACTCAGAGACACGAGCTT